CAGAGATTGGTACGACCGTTTCACGTCCTTATTCAAGCCTACGCTTGTCACATGCCTTTGTCTCGTTTGGCTTTTATGAACAAGTATTCCAAAGACTAATTAGGTCTTTCACCTCTTGCAGCACCAGCTCTGCAAAGTTCTGTGAAATGTTAGCAAAGATGTGAGCAGTAGAGCGAGACAGTTTCGTCAGTCTATGTAATGAAAGCAACAAGAGTAATAATTATTAGATTCACTTGAATATTGTTATAATGAATTAAGAAAGAAAAATAAAGTAATTTTAAGCCGTGCTTATTACATATTTTTGATGTCAAACATTTGTTTTTTTATCTATATAACTTATAAGAATCCATATTTTCAACTGTCTTTTGACATTTTTTTCTAAAATAACAAGTATCATCCTATTCATTCTTCTCTTTTTTTTTCATGCATATTACTCTGACAAACGAGATAAGCTTTCATCAACTCTTGATCTAAAAATTCTATGTCAGAGTTGCCACAAGAAAATGAAGCAGTGGAATAACAACTTTAAATCGATAAAAACTAAATCTTTGTTAATTCTCATTAATGTGGGGAAAGAAATCATTTATATAATATTATCTATTTTTCACCGGAAAATATCATGATAAATATGATTTCATAAGAAGGAAACATCCTTTGCAGAGAGCATAACAAAGCTATGTTTTTTAATTCATGACAAATGTAAAGGTTAACTACCATTACAATTAAGAAAGGTTAAGAGTCTTTTTTAAGTACGAAAATGGTTGCTGTCATATATGAAGTCTTTGTTTAAGGATTAATTCTTTTATATCAAGAGACGTGGAATGAAACGGAAATGAACTTCTCAATATGAATTATCATGCAACAAACAAGTTGCTTATCTAACACGCAAACACATTGATAATTGATCTTCTTGTTTTTTCTTTCTTTTTCTGGAATTTCTCACGCCATACCTATTTCCGCCCACTCATATCTCGCCTTTTCTTTCTATTTTTTTCTAATCCTGCAACCTAATGATGTTAATCTTTCTAATAAAAAGAGAGAGTTTTACGAATGCATTAACACAATCAACTAGATCTAAACATTTTACAAATTTGAAAAAGAGTTTGTGTAATGGAAAAGTCTCTTTTGTATCCTGATTGTGACTTTACTATTTGGTTTCGTTCTGTTAATGAACATAATATTACTGAAAAACCTATCACAGGGCAAAAAACAGGTAAGAAATAAAATATTCCTTTTAATTTTCTACATAGTATAAATGCTTTTAAAAAGGCATTATTCCTGATTGGATCGATGGTTGTTTTTTTCAAAATGGACCTGGTCTATTTTATGCAACAGGAAAACGTGTTCAACATATATTTGATGCTTTTTCACTCATACAAAAGTATTTTAGATACTCTTTTTTTTCAAAAATTTTTCATAACAATTAGTTTTCACTTGCGAATAGGTTCACAATAAAAAATGGTCATGTCACGTATCAAAATCGAATTCTTCAATCAGATGCTTATAAAAAAGCACATCAAACTGGTCGATCATGTTATTCCGAATATGGTACATCAAAAACTGAAGAAAATTTAGATTCATCAAATAATAAAGGTGAACAAGAATCTACATTGAGCTGGATTTCCACATGGTAATTATTTTGATTCTTTTTTTTATAAAACAAGAAAAAGAAACTTTTTTTTTATTTAGTATTCGGAATCTTGTTAATTATAAAAATGATTTTCGAACAGATAATGCAATGATTAGTATTTATCCATACAAAATCAATAATGATCAAGTAGCATTATTTGCTATGACTGAGGTTTGTGAATAATAATAAAAAAGAAGATGTTTAAGAATACATCTAACATGATTTCTTTTGAATTCAGACTCCGATTATGCATCAAATAGATTCAAAAACAATTGAAACGCGTTCAAAATTCGATGTTAGTGACAATATATCTATTGTTTCACATTGTGCTCATCCTATTATTCTTAATGATGGAAAAATACTTAATGTTGGCTTATCACCAAGTTTAATAGGCATGAATTATGTTTTATTTGAATTTCCAGGTTTAAAAGACAAACTGAAATAATAAATTTTGAAAATGTATTCTGATAAATACTTTCAGGTTTTTCAAATTCAAGTACTGAAGACAATCTTATGAATCAATGCAAAGTGTTAACAAAAATTCCATGTCGTTGGTCAATTAATCCATCTTATATGCATGCATTTGCTGTAACTGATAATTACATTATTCTTATTGAACAATCACTTTGTATATCTCTTGTTCAAATGGCTCAACTGACACTTACACATGGTCCAATGACAGATGCACTTGTCTGGCATCAAAATGAACCGGTTTTTATAAAAACGAATTTCTAAATTCAAATAAAAAACTTTGTTTATTCTAATTAGGTTCGATTTCGTCTTATTCATCGTCAATCAATGACTGAATATAATGATTATATTTATTTATCATCAGCATTTTTTTATCTTCATATAATTAATGCATACGAAGATAAAAATCATCTTGTTCTTGATATTTGTTGTTATGATGATTCTGACATGCTTAAATGCATGACAATGGAAGCACTTGAGGTTTTTATTTTTATATTCAAGAAAAAAGAAAACTTAGTTGTTTTCTTTTCTAAATATTTTAGAATGCTCAACAAAATCCTGATTATATAAAACAATTTCGTAGTAGACCGAAACGATTTGTTTTACCTATTTCAATAAAACAAGATAATGAAAATTTAGTTGATTTAAATTACACAACATGTCAAGTGAAATTAATTGATAAAAATAATTTATGGATTGAACCAGAATTAATTATTGATATGGGTTGTGAATTACCTCAAATAGATTATTTTAGATATTATGGAAAATTTTATCGATATTTTTATGCGATTAATACTGATATTGAATATCAATATTGTGGATCTGTATAATGAAATTTCTTTTCTTTTTTTATAAGAAAATCTTATCCATTTTTATTTATTTAGATTAGAAAAATTGATGTTCATTCAAAATCATGTAAAATTTGGCATGAACCAGGATGTTATACATCCGAACCAATTTTTCTACCAAATCCTTCAAACGAAACTGTAACATATAAAACATAGAATTGATTGAATTATTTGTATTGTTTTATTATTATTATAGGAAGAAGAAGATGAAGGAGTTTTGATTATGTCATTATTAAGAACTGCTCAGGATAATGAAGTCAGTTTCCTTGTACTTAATGCACGAGATATGACAGAAATTGGACGTGTTCAATTTGATACAAATGGTCCTGTACCCAAAAATCTTCATGGTCTATGGATTGATTCAAAAATTAAATCCATATAAAAATAAACTGGGAAAGTAAAACTCAATCGATGATATCTGCAAGTCAATCATTTAACATTAAATATTAATTCAATGAAGAAATTTTATGTTGCTTTTTTGTTGCTTACAACGAATTTTATTCTTGCTGGAATCAATGTCTGAAAGCTTTTGTGTGGCAATAAAAACATAATATTTAAAAATATTATACGAAATAACTGAAAAGAAAGAGACATGTATCAAAATCATTACTTACAAGAGAACTACCTCAACTGACACTCGCTATTTAAGTTCATATGGGATCCATGGGCAGGTTTCAATGAGACTAGCAAAAATCTAAAAGAGCTCATTCCTATGGGCCTTTGTCGTCGAATTATCGCCATTTTGCGAATTTTCAATTCATTTATGAATAGTTCCCGAAAAATCAAATGACAGAGTTTTGATCTAAAAAGTCTTCATTATAGATAGTTTTAATGATTCTTAGAAGTCACGAAAAATGAGTTCACTTGAAAATTCCCTCATTCAATGAAAGAACATTCTTTTCAACTGAAACCTTCAAGATATTTTAAGAGTCATTACATCTATCTATAGGTAAAATTTTCGACCAAAACTCTGTTATTCGGTCTTCTGGAAAATACCTAAAAACATGTCAAAAAATCCAATAAATTGGTCATACCTCCACGCCAATGAAGACGAATCCTTTTAGACTTTTGCTATTTTCATCAAGATCTGTTTGCGAGTTCAACATAAGCTCAAACAGTGATTGACATTTGGATTAGTTTCCTTGTTAGGAAACTGATATGAAATATATTTTATTTTCGAATCATTCGATTGCACTTTACGTATTCTATTCAAAGAAGTGCTTCTATCACGATTGATAAAATGCATATATACGTATAGATATATATCTAGATGCTCTTTATCTGTTTTACATAATCAAAAATTCAAATTTTTATTTTTCTCTTTTAACAATTTGACAATAATCAAATAAAACAAGTATGCCAGATGTCTGTAATTGTAAAATATAGAAACAATTATTTTTATTTTCTAAAGCGTAGACTTTTTTCTTGTATATTTATTACCCATGATTTTCTGTTTAATATAGAGCTAATAGTTATAGACTGTTTATCTCTTGGATTCAATTCATACGGAAAGAAGGATATCAGTCTTGTTTCTCTATTGATATCATAACAAAGAATATACAAAACGCATCAAAAATTAAAAAAAAAGAATTAATTACAAATTGATGGTTTCAATATTTGCAACTATTCAGAGAATGATGTGAGAATAACAGATTAGGTTATTTAATGATTAGTTCAATTGAGTAGATTAAAATATTGTTGACATCGAAAATCAATTTGATTAAAATGTTAATTACTACCATAATTTATTTTTATCACTCCAATCACTTCTATATTTTAATCGATCAACAAATCATTCTATGAAAGTTATTTATTGATAATTAAAATAACCTTTCTTGTTTTATTCCTTATTGATTACATATTGAGTCATACCCATCAAACAAACAAGAAAGAGATTGTACAAAGTTTTCTGATTATATTTTAATCAAGCCTCAATAGTTACAATGAGGATAACAAAAAATAGATAAGTAATATATGGTGTTTTTTTCTTATTATATTATACAGAATAATGAATAGATGATAAAATGTGTTTCAATTTTTATACTCATATTTTACCAATCACCATTACCAAAATCAACTCCTAAATAGAAAGAAAAAAGCCGATCAATCATCAAGAGAAAAAAAGTTATCTACCTCCAACATCGCCTCCACCGCCATTAAAGTCTATAAAATATCAATAAAAACTTAAACGATTTGTACTAATACAATGAACCTTACCGTCACCACCGTAATCATTGCCATTACCTCCGTCATTATCGCCACCACCACCATAATCATCGCTGCCGTCATTATTGTCAGCGCCATCAACACCATTATCATGGTCACCGCCGCCATAGTCATCGCCACCCCCACTACCGTAATTATAACCATCACCACCATGATTGTCACCGCCATGATCGTCAAAATGATCATCACCACCTCCAAAATCTTTACAATATCAATAAAAATCGAAATGAATATACTTCGTGTAGTGATTCTTACCTTCATTACCACCACCATCTCTATCATTTCCATCACCATTATTTCCTGACTGTTGATTATTATTTGTCTCATATTGAAAATTGTTTTGTTGATTATCATTGTCATTATATGTATTTGTTTCATTATAGGTCGAGAAATTATTATTTGTTACACTATTATTATAATTATTCATTGTATCATTATCATAACTAAAAAATTAAAGTTTTTCTTTTCAATGTACATGAACAAATAAGATTTACACACTAGTTATTTATCACCGTTGTATCATTGTCTCCCAAACCCCATCCACTAGAATAAAAATTATTCCGTACTAAGATTTTTAGAGACTTCAATATTATTATATAGTCTGTTTTGTCGCGAAATACGACACCTTATTTTGAATATTTCTCATTGTATTATAATAGAAAATTGCTTTTCAACTTACCCATATCCACCATGATGTCCAATAGGCCCCATTCCATATCCCCATCCACCATGTCCACCAAAACCACCTCCCCATGCATAGCCAAGAGCGCCTAAGAGCAACAAATTGTAATACTCTTTTGTGATATATTTTTGAAGACCTTACCACCAAGTAATGCTCCACCAGCAAAACCGACTCCTGCACTAACTAATGAACTTCCACCGCCGCCTCGATTAATGCCACTATATCCTCCTCCACTACCATACGAAGGTGATGGTTGTACAACGACATTTGTATAATGGTAAGTTGATTGTTGATTGTCATGCATTTTTGGATATATTGGTTGTTGTTGTTGCAGATATGAAGTTGATCTTGGATAAGCTAAAAGAGATTTTAAAAATAATGTTTGTTTGATAAAGTAATCAATATACGCGGTGGAGCATTAGATGACAGATGAGCAGATGGTCGAATAGCAGCGTTTTGTTGTGGAAGCGATGGTACTGAAGGATGCTGAGGTGAAGGAGGTAACTATAAAAAAATGATTGCTTATATTTATTAAATTTAGTAGAATGAACTTACTGTAGAAACAATTGCTTTCATCCAATCACTACATTTTTTTAAAAAAGTAAATGAATTTTGAATTATTTTATGATTTTCTTACTTTAAATGTGTTACATCATTACATAGAATCCATATTATTTCTTGATCATGGTGTCCAGGTGACGATCTTGGTAAAGCAATAAGATTAGCTTCATCAGTTGGTCGTGGAAGTTCTGGTCGATTAGATAAACATCGTGTATATGGTCCAACACAAAGATTTTGAGCTATATCACGAATATGTATTGATCCATCTGGTTTTCGATCATTTTGTTTTTCATACCATTGTAATGTTGAATCATCAAATAATACAAAATAATAATTTTTCCATTTTTTCGATAATAAACCTCCTACAATAGAAATATTTAAAAAAATTAGTGAATAAATTATTATTGGTATTAATCAAAAACAAATACGTACTATAAAAATACTGAAGATGACCTGTTTTAATATGCTGAGACATATTGTTTTTTTTTTAAACTATTCGTCAAAAGATATATACATACAAATGATTTGGTCGTTTGCTAACTACACATGCAAGTCAAACAGTTATTGATTCGAGCAAAAACTATTCATCTAGGAGAATAATGTTGCTTACGCCAAACACCTTTTTCTTTTCTTTTTTTCTACTATTCTGATGAAAGAATATGTGCATTCGATTAGACGGGTTGCTTAGATGTTGAGCGAGATTGAAGGATGCCAGTGTTTTTTTTCTTTTCTGTTACTCTCGTTTTCTGTGTTATTCCTGTTATTAATACTAAATAAGAAACCAAGCATTGGCTTTCGTACATTTTCATCTTTTTTTTCTATTTGCCAGTAATAAGTTGTTTGTGAAACAAGAATAAAAGAGATGCATATATATGTCGATGAAAGTATATATGAGTAGTGTCATCCATTAGCAACGTGATTTCGACAATGTAAATGCTTTATATCTCTAGACTTAGGTATTTCTCTAAACTAATTTCTATGTAACATATGTATGTTGAATTACTCTAGATACTTTAAAAAAATACAGTCTTGCAGACTTTGGTTCTGCGAAGTTATTATTGAAAAAAAAACAGCCTTAGTGATATGACTTAAAAAAGGGCTAAAGGTTTCCGTTGAGTACTTTTTTTTGTTTACAAATTCTGCAAGTTCAAACAATATTTTTGAAAACTAAATAGTGAATTTTGCAAAGGATTCTTCAGCGTATAAAGTCTCTATGCAAAGTTTTTCATCAGCATGTATAGGTTTTCTTCAAAAAGTTTGAGTTTATTCGCTGTTAATGACGTGAATGGGTACGAATATGGAAACGAAAAATCCTCTTGTAACTGAACAAGAAGTTCAAAAACGAACTTTCAATGATAACAATCCTTCTCAGGGACCACAAGATGATTGCAAAACAAAAAATCTCGTTCTGGAACAAGATTAAATCTCTGAAAAACTGACTTTTGAGAGATAATTTTAGGGAGCATCGTCTTGCTAAAAACTTCAATATAGATATAGTTTATTACATAGAATCTATTTTAAAATTCCTAGACCTTTCCATCAAAATATTAAAGAGTGCTTCGCTAAGTACATTCTAATTAATTAGTTAATTGAGTTTAATTATGTGTGAGCTGAGAAAAACAACATTTATATATCCCTATGGAAAAACAGTTAGATTCGATATTTTGATTATATCACTGCTATAAATAAATATTTTGAGAAAAAGTAATTATATTGTCTAATAGCACGTAGAATTCTCTGCAATCCTATATGTGTCCATTTTGAATCTCACTTGCTCGGTTAAATAGAAATTCAAGAACAGTCAGGGCTCCCTCATTGACATATATTCTCACAATGCATCTTTTTATTTCTATTTCATTCAGTATTTTCAAATTTTTTAAATATACGGTCAAATTTTTACGAAAGTTATATGAATTTGAAAGCGCATGAAAATCTCTATCACATATCGTACTTTTGTCAGTTTTTGAATTTCAATTATTTGATCACAAATATTTCGAATATTGTAATGTACTCTCACTCTAACATATTCATCATCGACTACTTCACATAATTCATACGGCAGACCATGAACGGTTACCTAGTAATCAATTAAGATGCATAAAAAGTCATTGAGATTTTTTTGTCTTTCATGAATCACTGTGTACAAGGATATTGTTCAAACTTTCAACAACACTTTACCTTGGAATGTGATACGTGAGTACCTTGACAATATTCGAAATATTTGTCATCAAATATTTGAAAATCAAAGACTGACAAAAATACAATATGATAGAGATTTTCATGTGCTTTCAAATTATATAACTTTTGTAAAAACTTGGCCCTATATTAAAATAAATTTTAAATAATGGATGAAACAGGAACAAAAAATGCAGTTTCCAGAGAATCAGCAAATGAGAATGCCTTCATTGCACTTGAATTTCAATTTAGTTGAATAAGTGAAATTCAAAACGTACATATATACAGTTCTAGACAATTTTACGGGCTATCAGAATATATAATTCCTCTTGTAAGAGTGTTAATTTATAGCAATGATATATTTAAAATATGAAGTCTAACTTTTCTTTTTCCAAGGAGATTTATATTCATGAGAAAAATATTATAATTTTTCGTCGGTGTCGTTTGCATTTGCAACAAAGAAAATAATTAATAACATTCGCAAAGTGCTGAACTACAGAAAACAAAATTTATTTCAATACATTTTTGTTATTGCATAGCTCTCATATAAGATAAAGAAAATTCACACCATGTATACATCACGATATTATATAAATGATAGCATTAATAAAGACAACATTTTACTGCTTGATTCAATCTTAAATTATTCAATTTCGTTTATAATTATATAAAAGACGCATATATATAGATCAAAGCGAACCACTCCATATATTCATTTACATATATCGGTATCTTCTTATCCGAGTAAAAAAAAACAGACACAGAAAAATTTATAAAAGAGTGCCACTGATGTATAAGCAAAAGTAAAAGAAAATCAAACAAAAAAAAAATACACAAGAATCTCTCTTTTCTTCATTCATTTCACTGTGGAGAAAAAAAAAGAAAACAAACCGAAAATAATTTTCAAAACATATCATTTCAATATTTCATCTCGTCTCAGTTTTAAACAAGCAAGAACAACTTGACATTGATACATTGAACCTTGTAATTCTGATGACATTTGATCAACATCTGTTTGTATTGTTGAACTATTAGTATTATTTGTAATAGTATTTAAACGTTGATTACTGCCTGAATAATTTGTTGTTGTTAATAATTTTGATGGTCTCATTAATGTTGGTCCAAAAACAACAGCTAAATTATCTAAATGCATCATATTTATATGTGAATATTGACTAACACGTATTAAATGATCAAATAAATAAAATAAAATTTTTCGATTATTTAAATGTAATGATTCAAATGTTTTTAATAATGTAACACGTTGATTATCAATATCAGTTAATTGTATAGCATGTAAAAATTCTTTATATAATGTACTACTAAATAATGGTTCAGGTAATTCACGAAAAAATAATTTTAATAGATTAGCTGCAACATGTACATTTTTTTGAAGCAACATTTCTTCACCATGACGATAATTTCGATCAAATTCATTACGAAGTTTTTGTAAGTCTGAAGCAACACAACAAACACGATATATACCTGTTTCATTTAAACCTTCACGTTCAACCATTTCAATACATTTAACAATTATACGTGGAATACCATTAATGCTAAAGCAAAAAAAAAAGTTTGTCATTTTTTTCCAAATGAAATATATGTATAAACTTACTGTCCATTTGGTAAACTTAGTAATTTTTCAATACTTTTTCCAAATACAGCAAGACTTCGTTTTGATGGTCGACGTTTAAATGTTCCTTCACGTTTTGCATAGTTTAATGAAAATTTTAATTTTAAATCCCCAGATGGTGATTCAATAAATGTAACTTCATTTGCATTATTTTGACATTCATGTAATGCAGTTTCGATCTTAATTTTCAAGAAATTTTTTTTTTTTGTAATGAGAAATTTTTTAACTTACATCTCGATGAAATTTACCAATGCATACTTCTTTTTGTGAACTATTACGAATATCAGTTGTCGATGAGTCAATACGATAGATAAGAAAACGAAATGCAAGTGAATATTCTAATTCAATATGAAATACCTAAAAGAAAAATTGAAAATAGAATTTCAAAATTCAAAGTTCTTTTTTTGAATGAAAATCAATGAATATATTTGAAAAAAAGAAAATTTTAATAGAATAATTTCTTGTCATAAAAAAAAAAGTTAATATCTGTTCGCTGGAAAAATTTGATAAAACTATGTCATTTTATCTTCTTTCTAATCATAGTAATTTGAATATTCGAGAATTATTTTAGTTTGTATGATAAGCAGTAGTTTAGAATACTTTGTAATCAAATTATTGATCTAGGAATAATCGAAAACATCTTGTCTTAGGAAGAAACTTCTTCAGATTAAAAAAAAGTTTTTGAGACGAAATTTATTCCATTAGGTAGGGTCTCCTGAGGCTAGGCAAAACTCATAATCATTCATACTGTTGTTGCATTCTTGTCGAGTTGTGGTCATATTACTGAGTTTGTGGTTTCATGCAGGATACAGTAAAACTTCTCTATGTGAGCACCTTCCTATACTTGACAGTGACTACTTAGCTCTTGTTCTATGAACAACAACTTCTGTAATGCAAGCAACATATGTTCTATCATTTGCATATAGAACAACGAAAACAATGATGTTATGATAAACAATCATGGAATACATAGGAAAAGGGATGGACCAGCTGTGGATATTAAAAAAATAATATTAATCAGCAGTGAAAGTGCTTGGTGTAATATTTCCTCGTTTTTATGTTAATATTTAGTAACATTAAATCATTTCAATACGTATTGATTGATCTCAGATTAAAAATGTTGAATTAATTAATAGTGAGAATGAAGAAAGATTATCTTGTGCACCAAAAAAAAAAGTGATTGCGACTGAGTACTTATAGATAGATAAAAAAGAAACCGAAAACCTCCCAATAATAAGCACTTTTGAGTGGTTCTAATGATACCCACATTAAAGAGGTTTTACTGTATATCATAAAAAAATTCCATGTTGTCATTTCAAACTGAAATTTCGTCTATTTAGAAGACTTATGAACTCTATCATGCCCTGAAAGCATCAGCTCCAATGAATATTCTCTTTCTGAGATAATAGTTTTAGAAAAGGACTTTTTCTGAATCTATTCTAAAACATGCGCACTCATTGAGAATATCATATCCCAGAAAGAAAATATTCGTTCTAGCTACAAATTTCGATGTATCATAGGAATCATAAGACTTCTTTATTCGCGAAACTTCAGCTTCAAATAACAACATTGAATTTTTAATGATATGTACTGTATAAAGCCGAAAACTCAACAAGAAAGTAACAAGATCACGAATCATTATAGATTTAGCCTAGTTTCAATTGACT